AATTAAAATATAATAAAACAATATAAAATAGAATAAAATAGAATAAAAACCAAGATAGCACTTGATAGCTACCCAAGGGCCAGACCTCTAAATAATTCCTGCCTAAAAAAAGGCTCAAAGATCATAGATAAAGGACTGTAATCTTTTTTGAACATTAACTGGGAGTAAGACTCAGCGTACAAGTGCCTGCTTTCAGCCTCACAGCTATGGTAAAATTAACGTAACAGTAACATTTGACTCCTGGACACATCTGTGTAGCTGTTTGCAAATGTAGAGTCATATAGCAAAGTAAGAATGAGCACCATTAGTAAGTTGGGTTTAAGAGGTACAGTCCAAACATGAATTAAACAATTCTTCTGGAACTCCAATAGCAGAATTTATTTTTTAGATTTTTTTTCCTGCCTTTATTATTTTCTATAAATAACTCAAGGCAGCAAACATACCTAATACTCCTTCCTCCTCCTATTTTCCCCACAACAACAACCCTGTGAGGTTGAGTTGGACTGAGAGAGAGTAACTATTTTGAAATATAAATAAATATATTCGTGCATGTGTTTGGTTTTTATTCTATTTTATTGTATTTTATATTGTTTGTATTGTAATTTTAATATTTATTGATGTTTTATTGTGAACTGCCCAGAGTCACTTTTTGTGAGATGGGCAGTTTCTACATTTGAAATATAAATAAAAATAAACAAACAAACTGGCCCAAAATCACCCAGCTGGCTTTCATGCCTAGGGCAGGACCAGAACTCACAGTCTCCTGCTTTCTAGCCTGGTTCCTTATCCACTAGACCAAACTGGCTCTCTTCATATATTTAGAACATGTCTAATGCTACTGTCCTACAAACACTTCCTTGGAGTAAAGTCCTATTAGTAAGACAAGACATATTCCCAAGTAAACATGCCAAAAATTCTATTGTGTTTTCCAGTTGAATCAGTTTTGTTCATTTATTTGTTTCCCTTGCTTAGATTATCAATCCTTTGGCTCTCACGGTGATCATAAAGCTAGAGCCACGTGCAATTAACTGGCATCAAGGAGAGAGCATTTTGGCCTCAACCAGCAAAATGTCTTTGTGGAAGCAGATATAAACCCTATCGATATATCATCATTTTAACTTAACTATTTATGAAGAAAACATACATTATAATTTATTTTGTTTTATTTAATTTTAAAAAAAATCTAAGGAATTGCAATACCATTTAAATACATAGATTTACAAATAGGTCCAAAACAGGACTAAAATATTCTTTGAATATTGTGCTTTCATAGATACATAAGAAAAATTAGCATATAAAAATACTTTACAGGAATACACTCTAATATATGGATAAAAATACACATTTAATGCATTTCATTTTTATATCATTCAAAATGCATAGGAAGGGATACAAGGACCATTTTTAAAGCCTTATTAAAAGTCTTCATTAAAAACCTAATTGAAGCCACATGGAGCTTCTGCCATTATGAGAATATTGCATATAAAACTCCCATTTTCCACACATCCATCAATACTTTTTTGTTTCTTTTATGGCACATTATCTAGGTCATGGCAGCAATGGTATGGAATATTGCATACTTTGAGAAAAGAGAATGGCTACAGCTAGAGACAGCCTGATGAGACTCATGCACATCTTAAGAAAATCACTGAGAGAGCAGTGCTGTGAAATAGCAAAAAAGATATATACGCTCACAGCTTGGACTGGGTTCAAACCAGAAACATGTCTTGGATCAGCACTCATCTAACGGGTGTTTCCAGTCTTGGCCAAAACATGGCATCTCAATATGGATCGAAACAGTAGAAAACAACAGAACAAAATTAAAGCTATTAGAAAAGAAGAGAGGAGTCAGTTTTCCCATTCCCAAGTAACGGTCAATTTAAATAGTCACAATAAAGTGCTGTTCAGAACCCATCAGCACAGGCCACTGGACTAGCCAGGCAGAGACCACAAATCCTGGTATTTTCCCCCTTTGAAATGAAGAAATCATGGCCTCTTTTGCAATTGTCAACCATAGGCAGATCATCAAAAAAATGCGAATATCACACCCAACAGCACTACAAGAGGATTTGACTTGGGAGGCTGATGCAGGGTCCTGGTTCACAAAGGCATCGTGCTCACAAGTCATTGAAAAAGTGATTATTGAAAAACATAGGGCTTATGCTATTGGTAGGTTACACCAAGGTGTCAAGCATCATCATGGGATTAAACAAATGTACACATTTCAACTTTCACTGAAGCAACCCACAGAGGATGTACTTGGAGGTACAATATCAATCTAGAGACAGTGCCTCATGCTACAGAGTAACAAAGGTTCCTACCACCACCACCACCACCACCACCACCACCACCACCATCATACAGAACATTAAGGGTGAGACAAGAGTTTGATGCAAGTGACCCATGTTCAGCTGCCCACTCATAAGCATATAGAGAGAGGGCATCAGGGAACAATTCTGGGGCTCTGTGTGTGCCCACAAAGAAATGGGTGGCCCAAGAGACTTCATCTTCCCCATGTAATGCTCTACAATAAGTACTTTCAAGAAATGGTAGATGGAGAATAAGAAACTTAGTAAGAAACTAAGCTGGACAGTATTTTGAAGTTGAAAAGTATTTCTGCAACCTCCCAAAGAATAAATGCCTCAGACATTATGGGGAAAGTATTCGTCAGAGCTTCATCTTCTGTGATGAACAGGTTGCCTTTTAAATTAAACCCAAAAATAAAATGTGCTCTTAGTTTCAAAGAGACGTGTGATACAGTGATCTGTGAGAATGTGCAGGGGAATTGGAGAAAGGGCCCAAGTGTCCTTCACAAAAAATGAGGGGATCCGTTTTAAGATTAACTTTACTTGATTAAACAAAGCAAACAAAAACAGCACCATGTATCCAACTCCTTCAAGACTGGGGAAAAGAAATGTGTGCCCTATCATCCCATGCATTGGAAACACTCATATCGTGAGTAAGGATGTTCTCCTGTAGGCAAATTATTCTGGGTGTTGCTGTCAGCAGCCAACTCCATCCCTTACTAGATCAATCCATCTCAGCTTGAACCCTCAAAGCCAAGTTGCATTGGCTTCAAAATGTGACTGGTTGGGGGAGAGGAAACATTTCTTCACAGCAGCTGACATTACACAGATTAAGCATAAATACGAGTGCAAAAGAAAACAAATGAACAACAGTCAAAACAAAAACCCTCACACACCACACAACAGACACCCATTAATCCCTTTGCCCCCACAGAACTGTGAGAACAGCTGACATCAAACCCTCCCATTCTTCACTTCAGAGTGTCTGCGCGCTTGTCTTCACCTCCCCTCCAACTGACTGCTGGTCTGGAAAACTTCTTGGCTCCTGTAGACAAGTATTGGCAATGAAAGCCAGGGGATTTCGACTGATTACAAGGTCCAGCTTATTTCCTGCCTCGGATATCAGAGGAACAGCCAGGGAGCAATCAAAGTCCCTTGTACGGATACAATTCACCTGAAAGAATGGAAGATCCATGGTGAGATACAGGGAAAATGAAAGAAAATGAGCAGAGGTGGGGGTAAAACTAGGCATGGGCTTCTTTTCAAAATAACCTTGTGTGCTGCAAAGGGGGCCTGCCAACATATATTACCCACCCCAAGCCAAATCATGCTCTGCTGTCATTCAAAACTGAAGGAAAACACAAATTTCCACACAGGCATGTGAAGCAGTGTGTTCTTGCAGGCCACTTATCCTCCAGACAACAGTTTCAGAGCCAAAAGTGAATTCTACCACATCCCTTATCCAGCAGCCACACTCCCAAAATATATTGGTCATATTAGCTTTCCAGCTATGAAAAGCTTGCAGAGTCCTTGGGGTTTTCTGAGCTTGGTTGTTTTCTTGCAGACGTTTCGTTACCCGTCTAAGTAACATCTTCAGTGCTAGAAGGGAGTGGGGCTTGCTCTCTGTTTATATGCAGTAGCTTGCCCTGTCAGTGTTGGTCTGCAGGGGCCCATCGGTTGTGCTCTCCTGGTATTGGCAATTCTGCACTTAGAGTGACTCCTGGAAGCTCTCTTTTATGTCCTATTTTGACTTATGGACTTCTTTGTCTGGCTGTAAAGCATAATGGAAGAAGAGAAAAGGGTCTTGGGAGACTAAAAACCAGACTGTCTTCAGCAAGAAGCATGGGCATAGACTCAGAGGCAGCAGCAGAAAAACAGTGGGTATAAGGATGGACAGACAAGATGGCAAAATGCATCTAATGGAACGGGCTTTCCCTGTATGTTAGATTTCTGAAAGGGAAATAATGGCATTTTCTGTTTCCTAATAAATGTTTCATAATGAACAGATTTCCAAGGGAAACAAGCTGTTGATGGAACTGGCTTTTAAAGAACTATGTCTCAGACTGAAGATGGATATATTTTCCAATTTAAAATTTAATTCCTTCATGCTGGACAAAAGGTTCCCTAACTTCCCACTGACTAAATAATAATGGAAAACATTTTTCTTCTGCAGGTGGGGAAAAGATGTCAGAAAAAGGAGAGAGGCTAACTGGCAGGAAAGACAATTGTCTCCTTCACTTTCTCTAGCAAAGTTTTGAAACAGGGTTGGACTAAATAATCAATTTCTGAGAAAATCAGGAAAAGAGAAGCCAGCTGGCAATTCCCTTTATTTCAGTCATTGACCAATAAAAATACATACAATAAAACGGACAACAATATTACTCCTTTCATCAATAACTATTAGCAACCATTTGCAGGTGAAGCTTACACATTATATAGCAAAATTTTGCAACTTTTAAAGAAATAAATTTATCTTAAATGATGTGTGATCT